CTCTTAAAACAGCAGTTTCTCATGTGCTCAAGCCTTCATCATCTTGGTGTCCTGCTGTACTCACTCCAGAAGGTCAGTCAGTATCTTAATACTGAGGAGCCCAAAAATGGACAAAGTACTCCAAATGCTTCCATTTACATTTCTCTTAAGACAGCTGAGCTACTGGAGGGAAAAAACCCTGAAAATTCACAGAATCACAGAATATTTTGAGTTAGAAGGGACCCACTAGAATTATCAAAGTCCAACTACTGGCCCTGCACAGCACAGTCGGTGTTAATTCCGGTACTGAATCTGGTAAGCAGCAAAAGAAAGCCCAGTAGCAAACTTTACACAGAAAGTAAAAAAAATGAGGATAACACAGAAACTAGATCCTAAACCATTGTGCCCTCAGTATTTTATGAAGACAAAAATCTCTAGAGTGGTGGTCCATCTTGTCTGATATGCTGCCAGCAACAATGGTTCGTACTAAAAATTTCACATGAAGGGCATAGGACACCAAGCAACAGATAATTCTGTACTAAGTTGTTCCATAGAGAATATTTTTTCTCTAAGTTTCGGCAGCCGTAATTAATGCCTTGCAGATGAGGGGCATTTTACCAGTCATACAAGTTCTCCAAAAATTGCTAGAGAACTGCTCATAATTAGAATATTTCTAATACTGTTTCAAATTTTATAAAGTTGGTTGGTAATTGGTTCATAAATTTGGCTGATCTTCTGGGACAAGTATTATAATATTTATATGAAGCAGTTCCTTGTACCTTCAAAGTTTTATTTTTTCATCTTTGTAAAAGAAATAGAGAAGAAACATAAAATTCAGTTGAACTGAATTAGGAGAATTTACTTGAAACAATTATATAGCTAAAAACCATGAAGCGGCTTCTAATAACTACTGTAGTTTGTTGGTAATTCACATTCTAAATAAATTTTACTAACTCTGAATTACAGAATCACAGAATCATGTAGGTTGGAAAGACCTCAAAGATCTCGTACAATCTTATTGTCAAAGTGTGTAATTTCTTAAGTTTTGACATATTGAAAAAATCTGAAAAAAAAAACTTCATCCACTGTTTGCAACGTAAATATGTAAAAAATACAGATCTTCCAAGGAACTAGAATATTGCTTTTCAAACTAAAACAACAGCAGCTGATAAATGGCAAATAAAAAACAACTAAAAGAATTTACATTTGGTAAACTCTCATTAGTACAAAATGCATTACCTTCCCTTTGTATGTCAACTTGGCACCTACCGACTGTCTCTGTCCCACAGGAGTATTCGTATGTAGTTGATTATTGACGGCTGGCCTAGTTTAATTTCAATTCCAGAACGGCAGTCGTCACTGATCGGGTGTCGAGAGAAGCCATGATCCAAGTCATAGTTCTGAGTATCTCCATCTAATAAAGCAGATTTCAGCTCCCCTTTTACAACCTGTGCTCCGTACTTCATTGTTGCAATATTTTCCCCTGGTACTAAGAAGAAAAGGAAATAATTGCTTAACTTTTACACTCTCATACTGCAAATAAGGTATTCTGAACATCAACTCTATTAGGTCAGACCAGATTAACCGCTAGTATCCTTTCTTGGTCAAAAACCCACGCTTAAGTGAAAAAAAAAAAAAAAAAGGCATTTTAGAAATTTAGCTTCTTGAATTTCATTTGATATTCTCTAAGTCTTTTATGGTAATAAAGTTGTGTATAATTTACTAGCTTGTAGTAGATATATTCTCAATCCCCTTCGTGATTTTACAGAATTCTGTTGCTCCTTCCTCACTCAATCAATACTTTCCCTCTTGCTTTAAAGTTTTGGTCTGTTTCGTCTCTCCTTGTGATCAGCTTCTCACCATACCTCTAACAGTTTTTCTGCCCTTTCTTTCTGTCTTTTTTTTCTAATTTCAGCTGTTGGTATTCACTTTGGTTTTGGGTGTTTGTTTGTGTTGTCTTGTTTTTCGTAAGTGGAAGGAAACTAAAAATCACATAAAATGTACAGGATGTGGATCAAATATTCAAGAGGCATCATGAATTTGCAGGGTGGTATATAGGTTAGTATAGCTATATATGCTCTTCTGATAGCTATACAACCTTCCAGTACTCTGTAAAGCTTAAGGAACTTGAGTGAAACAGGAAAGTTTTGGCTACTTGGGCTTTGAACCAACGTGGTAAAGCAAGTTTTTTTATGCCATCATTTCATAGGAATAAACTTCTTGCATCCCAGGAACATCTTCCATCAAGATAATTGGAGATAATGACCCCTAACTTCAGCTACAAAACAATACACTGATGAACCACCCTCTTCATAAGACATTTTTAAAACCTTCTTTGAGGAGAGACCCAAAAAAACATGATCTGAAAGCTAAATGATAAAAAGCTGCCCCTGAATTCTTCAGGCAGATTGGCAACAGAAGTATGAATTTTAACAGGGTGTTAGGTTTGACATCTAAAGAACAGAATTTGAAGTGGTGAAATTTTAACTGTATTGTAGTACTACTACATCAAATGCACAATTATGAAACTGTAAGTAGTTGTCAGCATTTACACAAACAGAAAAAGTTCCAAGTGCCCGAACGAATACTTAAAAAACAAAGAAATTCCACTCTCCATAAAGCTGTGATTAGGAGCATGCTTTTGTGGAGAGATAAATATTCAGAAAAAGAAGTCAGAAAACACCATCTGACTTATTCAAATGTATCTACTGCAGTGTCAACAGAATATCTTGCATGACAAGACTTTTACAGTAACCTAATATTAAACTCATATGTTTAAATATTAATACCTGTAACTTCTACAGGAGAACAAAGGGGATATGCAGTTAACATTTTCAGAGCTCATCATGTATGACTGAGAATACAGTGTAGGTTCTAAGAACACATTTAAATTTATTCTTTACTGTAGGCCAAATACTCTCTATAAATCACACATCAGATAGCTAACAATACCTTTCTAAAGCTCTAGTGCTAGCTACTCTTCCTGAATTAACAAGGAGCACAGACCAAAGTCAAGCACAAAGCTTCTCTCACTTTTTAGACTTCCATTAAAACCAGTTTTGGAAGACTTGTTTATACTACTTGGGCAAGCATGTAAAGAGTAACAGAAAAGGAGTGAAGAAAATATGAACATCTTCATGAAATAGAAAACAAGTTACCATCAGCATAAAACCATTTAAATATCATATATCCCACAGCCAATGCATTTTTAAATTTTAATGTTTTTGTAAAGGCTTTTCTATTAAAATAGCACTCCCTCTAGGAAAATATGCTCTCATTACAACATTCATGTTTGAGGAATATCTGAGATAAAAAAGCAAAAAATACGTTGACTAATACTACCTGAGAAATGGAAATGGCATGAACAGTATACAAGATACTTCCAAATGTAGGATTTTTAAAAAGTGCAGTAATAGATAAAAACTCAAAAGCACACACTAACCATATCCTCCAGACAGCTACAGTCACTAAATGAAAAGGAAACAAACAAAAAACTTGATGCTTACTTAACATGCCCCTATAGTTGAGGTCCATGTCCCGACTCTCTGAACGAATCTTAATGGCATCTAGGATGGCATCAGGTGACAACAATCCAGAAGGTCTTACAACATTCAGTAGTTCAGTTAGGCTCATCAGTGGCAAACGAACTGCCTGCATGATTTCAGCATGGTTTTCCTTGGGGTTATGTTTACACCAGTTCATCAAAGCTTGGAAAATATCCTTTTCAGGAGCTGCAAATGAGTCCCTCACTACAATACTTAAAAGAGCAGCCTGAAAAAAAGAAACAGGAACAAAATGAAGCACACCAATAAACACAAATTAAATTGAATTTTATCTTTTTAATAATGGGAAATTAAAATAAGGCAAAAATTAATAGGTATTTTAACTTGTAGCTAACAAAAATAATCTCCACAGGACTGACTCCCTGAAACTGTATCTTGTTTTAGTTATGCAAGCATATTACAGAATCCATCACAAAAATAATAGGTAATATTACAAAACCACTAGAAGAAATAAGTCAGAATTGAAATGCAGAGAACTACTCCAATCAATATAAAACCACATACTACTTCAAATTTACTTTGGAATATTGTAACAGATTTGGGAGTATAGTTCAAAACATTCCTTTAAACTTAGGCTGTTATAAGAACACTGATAAGAAAGAAGTGTTGCTTGGAATCACTTTTTTAAACCATTTCTAACTACACTGGATTTCCATCCCCCCAAATCTTTGTCTTTTGGTACCAACTTAGAATCAGCAGGTAAAAACTCCACTGGCTCTTATGCAGAAAACCCACTGACTGCAAAATGAGAACACGAATAATCAAACAGTTTTTGGATTTTCACTTAGGTAGCAGAATAATCAGGAGTTTGCCTAGAAAAAGGATAAATCTCTGATATATACCAGGACTGGCTACACCAACGACATCAAAGTATGCTCTTCCTGATAAATGATGTTTCCTCATTTTTTTATTATTAATATGCTCTCAGTGCTCAGATTGACAAACTGCACATGACAGACAACACTGTAAAGAAAAAAATATTTTTCCTTTCACAAGTAGTAAGTTAGCAGAGCCAAAGTGTCTCATTCTTATTCAAGAAAGAGGCCCTTCACAGCTTTTCCACTAAAAAACACTTACAAAAAAAATTAAACCATCATGTAAGGTCCTCTGCTACTTCACGTGAACGTCATTTGAAAACACTCCATCACTATTATGAACAGCTCAAAGACTACTCCAGAGTAAGTGGAAAATTTAAATTTCATAGACCACCCTGACTCAACCACAAATATTGCATTTAACAACAGAACCAACACACAGGAAACCAAAACCACCCTACCACACCACCACATTCTGCAACTTCAGAACATGATGACAATCAGCAACATAAATCACAGCAATCTCCAGAATGCTTTAGTTTACACAGCAGAAAATTCCCCATCACTGATGAAGTCTATATCAAGAAAATAATGGAATGGAGTATCTCCTGCCATCTTCAAATCTTTACTTTACATTCCCTGTGCGGCCTTCACAAGCCAAATTCTATTATATCAAGAACAGACGAAATGGGACAAATTAAGATTAGACAAATTAAGATGCCTGCTCCCATCTTTTAGAATACTCCATCAGACTTACTATATTTAGCTATACTGACCAGTCAAAATTAAATACCTAAAAAATTTAGAACAGATCACCAGAACTTTCAGTTCACCTTGGCTTGAACGTTCCCAACTGTCACCGTTTCAGTAGTATAAAACAACAACTGTTAACTAACAAATGAATTTTTATTTGGTGCCCATATTAGTATTTTATCCTGAAGTTGTACACAGATTAAAATGAAACATTTCTGAGGTAGGGAAAGTGCAAACAAAAGATATACCTTAGAAAGTGATAGGAAGCCTTCGCTGGAGAGCACCTCTTGGGCATTTCTATCCATGAACATACAGCACATAAAAGTTAATTTGGGAAGAGAATAAAGACTGGCAACATCAAATGTCATACAGACATTCTGAATATTAAGTATTGTGCAAAGATATTCAGATGTGGAATCCTCCAGTTCTGGGAATCCATATTTATGTGCTAGGCTTAAGAAGTCTAGAAGAACCTCCTCTTTCTCATCTCGTAGTGTAGCACGACCAGTGTAGATATATTTCAACAGCATGGTAAACGCTTCTGCAGTGGTGTCCTGAAGAGGAATTTCTGCTTCAGGCTGAGATTCTCTCATTCCTCCATACAATAATGCTCTATGAGGAAGATAAAATTTGAGAAATTCATATCCTGACAAAACTCATGCAAAAAGTAGAAAAAGTAAGCAATAACTATTTGCAGCAAGCAGAATACAAAGGGGACGTGGTTCAAGAATGTACAAAAGAAAGCTCCTCATGCTTGGCATTTATAGTGCAGCTCTGCTCTGAAAGCAACTGCACAAGAATAATCTTCTAATGCATTATGCTTTTATCCTATACAATACCTGCATCTCCACTTTCCAGAAATTGAGATATGGTTCTTGAGCCTTGCTTTTTAAATATACTACTATCGGTGAGAAAGAAAATTTAAAAAAATAATTTCGAAAAGCAAGTGAAACAAATGGTTTGCAGTGCAGCTTAGCAAATCTCAGGATTCTTGATCTCCTATTCCTAAATGCAGCACCTGGGAACTCCAATAAAATCCTGAATCCTGAGAAAAATCAATGACAGTTTGAATAAAATTTGCAATCACACTTTAGTTTAGCTATTAGCTTATCCCTCTGACAAAATTCACTGGAAAATTACCAGAAATTCTATTAAATACATTTAGAGTTAAAAATGCCCATCTCTTAAAAAAATAAAAAAAGTTGGATTAGCATTATACCTAGTTTTAAAATATATATTCTAATCTGTAATTAGAACCTCTTTAAATATTCAATTCTAATGCATCAAAATGAAACTTTCTAAATGAGTATATTCCATAGAAGTACACCATTTACAGTCTGAGAAGTCAAAACAATTTTTGCAGTAGGACTTGTCTGTTCTCAAGTTATCTTTCTCTTGAATTTGTGAAACTACCTTCAAAATCCAATTTAATGAAGGTCAAAAGAATAACATTGTGACATGGTATTTATCTTTTTCTATTTGGACACAATGATTTGATGTGCTGGGAACCATTCACACAGAAAAGGTCACACTCAAAGGACAGATGATTACACCCTGAAAAGTTCATAGAGAAACAATGTTTATCTTATCTGCATAAAAATTTCCTGTAAACCTGACAAAAAGCTATACTTCACCTGAAATAATGGCATCTAGCAGCCAGGATCACCCTGTGTGCCGGAAAACGTTTCTTTTCTACAATAAAGGTAACGTCACTATATTCTTCCCCATTCATTAGAGCACCAATGTGCTCTGACAGAATGTGAACGTGGTCAATCTCACCCACGGCCGTGTAAGGACGAAGTGGATGGCTGTTACTCATCTTGGAGGGATGGTGATATTGGTAGCCTAAAGGGAAAAAGAAAACAACCGGTATTATACAGGGAAAACAATATTAAAACCGGCAAACATGAAACTGCAATTACGAAAAAAAAGTCTAAGTAACCATATATTACAAGAAAAAGTAACCCAAGAGATTTTCTTTTAAAGTTCATTTACAACAGGATTCAATGGATCTACAATTCTAGCTGACAAAATATTTCAGAAAATTCCATCACCTTGTTGTTCTGTCAATTCATTTACTTAAAAGAAAAAGCTTCCAACAAAAGGAATTAAGAATTAAAATATTTTAAATAATGTTACAATTAGAAAGCAACTTTATCTCAATTAAAATGCACATAAATTATAAACAAGTAATGTGAACAATTAAGCATAGTCTTAATTGTCAAGTCTGTACCAAAATCAGTGACAAGTAAAAACATTAGCATTTTTGCAGGATTCTAATCAACTTTCCAGAACTGGGAGAAAACAAACAATCAGGATAACTTTTAATAAATAATAAAGTCTGTTCTTTTCAATGAACTACTCCATTTTCTTACCCTTCCCACTCAGTTTTCTTGATGCCTCCTTGTTCTCTCCCATTTTTAAGAAAACAAAGCCCCTAATATCTCTCAGTCATTAAAATTAGGAAACACTCTACTAATGTACAATATAGATTAGTGAATTAGTCACATCTTCTATGGAATTGTTTCTTCTGAATTCACAACAGGTTTGTTGGTTTTGGTTTATTTCAGCAACAGAGGCTTTCAGTTGTTACACTTTGGCTTATTTTTATTCAAAAAGAAGTTGACTGTTTCAGATAATAACCATCCATATTTTCAGAGAAATCCTCTGTTCTCCAGTAACTACCCACTTTTCGAAATGGGCACATACCTAATGCTGAAGAAAGATGGTGTAGCACAAGAAGCAGGAAAATGATGAGGCCATACCTTGCACATAGCTAACACATTCATCTTTCAAGTGAAATATTCATGACACCACTGCATTTTTATGCTCCATTTAAAAAATATTATGAGAAAACATGCATCTATTTTCAGTCATTTCTACCCTAACAAAGAAAACACATGCACATGGGGTTAAGTATTATTTGCACTTTAACTTGCTTAACCCAAAATCGAAATACTGTAGAAACAAGGTCTCAAAGAACTTTAAATGAACCTAAAAAAAGTTATATGAATAGAAAATAAAATTTGAGAAAAATAGAGCATATTGAATTAACACGGATCACAGCACAAATGGGAACAAAACCCCAGCTTTCCACAGGCTGTCTCTGCCACTTGAATTAGAAGCTGTGCATCCACGTAGCCATTACAGCACAGAACCAGCAACACTGGCCAAGATACTGGAGGCGGCCTAACCCTGGGAACATACAATACTGCACAGTCATCCTTCCATTCTGACATGGTAGTAAATTAATTTTTATGGGTTTTCATAATAACAGATTATTCCTTCCATTTGCATTGTTTAATTTATAAATAGCTAAGACAAATTTATGCAACATACACTTCCAATAACATCTACTTTGTAACAAGCAAGATTAACTTAACTCACATCAGTCCAGCAGCATCTACTTATCCCAGGAATAATGTTTATCACAACACAACTGCCTGAGAGTTTAGAAACAACAGTAAAATTTTAGCACCCTCAAACAGAAAAAACTTTTTATAACCAGAGGAAGAAACAAAAGGATGTATTTGTTACTCAGCTGCAAATCTTAAGTCTCAGTACTCCTCGAAGACTTCTGCACTGTACACATCCATATTTCCTGCTGTTGATTGTCATTTGCTAATAGGCAACCCAACAAAAAGCAAATTATCAAGGAACTCTGTAGTACAATCTTCTGTTAGTTCCAACTTCGATTGTGTAGGGAAACTGATTTATGATACTTCATACATGTACAAGCATTGGCACATTTTGGTTTTAAAATCTATTTTTAATTCCATTTTTTCTACATTCTACTTCTTTGTTTCCTGAATCCACTCTTATCTCTGAAAAAAAAGAAAAGGTACTGTCTGAATAAAACTGAGAGACTGTAAAAGTGGCGAAGACAAGGGAATGCCACTAGCTGCACACTAACTATGCTGCTGCGTAGCTGTGAATGTTTCATGTGCCAATCAGGTGAAGAGTTCAGGGGAAATTGTTTCTATTTCAAGTTAAATAAACAAATAAAATCAGAAGCACACTTCCCTCTCACAGGCACATAAACCTTTCTATAAACAAGAATCAGTATATAGAAAAGGACAAAGTCTAAAGTGCGGACATTTGCTAGTAAGCCAATGATGCCATTCCTTATGAACATCAAGACCCTGAAGGACAGCAAGCAATGAAAGCAGAGATTTAGAAATCGCCCTGTATAAGCAGCAAGACAAATCTGTTCTGATATTTAATGTTCTCCAAATTGCTGGCACCATGTACTATTCTAAACTGTGAGTTTCAAACAAGAACATACTGATCACAGGGAACATAGGACTCAAATCATGGCTATAAGCTCCTCTAGCTGAGGAGCCTTTCAAATGCTTGAAGGACCCAAAGTGCTGCAAACTTATCACCTTTATGAAACTATGTTCATGCCTTATATGTGTTCTATGGGTAAGATTAATATATTGAAGAAGCATTCAACAAACTCATTTAATGTTTACTACCGCAGATTTCCAATGCAAGTTTTGTCTGTATTGTGGATTTTTCATATAAAGCAGCCCAGTGAGACAATCCTACCCTCAAAATACAGCACCAAATAATACATGACTTCAGATCTTCCCAGACGGGATTAATTATTGGTATGAATTTACTCAACCCTTGAGGTGATCTGCACACTTCTTGTTTGAGGAAGTAAAACATAATAACCTCTTTAGTTGTGGCAAGTCACTATGACCTCACAACTTCCCTGTATAGCTAAACATATGTTTTTCTCATTTTAAATTGTAATTTAAAAGTATTACTTATTATAAAAAAAAATAGACAGATCCTGCTAGAAATTTGCTTAAAACCCTTCCTGAAGATCCCTCTAGCATCTTCTGTCATCAAACATCACCCTTTCAGAGAGAATACAGGTGTTTACTCATCCTGGCAGTCAAAGAACACGTAATCAGCATCAGAATAAAACACCAAGCATTTACAAGCCTCTTGCCAGCGCCATAACCTATTTTCAGGAGGTATTCAGAGGTAATTAACTACTTCAGGAGTCACTCAGCCTTGTTCACACCACAGAAATAAACAAGCAAAACAGTCTTCTCAGTGGATTTGATGTACCTTTAAAACTACAACATTGGGAAAGGCATTTGTTAAGTCCGAAGGCCTACAAACCAACTCTTAAGACGTCACTGAAAGCCCTGCTTGGTGTCCACCTTCAACAGAGAGCACGTGAAAAATGCAACCTATTATTTATTACATAAGGCACCGTGAGATATCACACAATGTGTCACGGCTAGAAAAACAACAGCCCCCCAGCTTTCAGTTTGCTATATTTCTATTACAGTAATCTGTAACATGCTATGGCACAGAGAAACAGGATCTAGAAACTGCAGCAACAACAGCAGAACACCAATGACATCCTTACAAAACAACTCTCAAACCAAAGCTGCAATGAAGACTGATACTCCATCACTTCCCTCTCTCATTTAGGCTAACACTAAAGAACCCTCTGAAAAGCAGTGCTGTTTCAGTGAGACATGGAAGTGTTGTTTTTATAGCAGGCACAGAAAAAAGAATAGAAGAAATTTATCATGGATACTTGTCAAAATAAAAGTTATTTAAAATAAACTGAGAATGTTTACGTAATGGATAACTCTACCAAAACTTTAGAAATATATGCAAGTAAATACACTATTGCTGGAATGAAAAACTTTATTAAATATATCTGGATTATAACCGAGCAAATAACGTCACATCCTTGAAAGAGTTAATTCCTTCATCATCTAGTTTGTACCTAGCAAGAGAGTATTTTTGTCAGAATCACACAAAGAGAATTTTCTTAAATGTAATTCTCTTACACTACTATTTTATCTAGAAATAGGAATTAGTTCTCAGTTGATCAGAGGCATTTGAGTAGTATTTCAATTTTTTGTAATTCATTACTTCGTAAAATAATTTGCTGTACTGTAAATATATTCCAGCAAAATATTGCTTTATTTTTCAATTTCTATTATTGTAGACTCCCAGAATATGACAGATGTGACAGTAAGACTACTGTACAAACATATCACTGTTTCAAATATGGTTTGTATTTTTAATGAATACACATATGTCTTTTTATAAAAAAATATATTGTTCTCCTAAGTTCAGGTACAGTAAACTAATATCTCAGGAAATACACATTTTTAGTAAATATTTCAACATTCATAGAGTACAACTTGAGCAAACACTTTGATTCTGTCAGAACCCTTGCTACAGCAGCTCCTTTGCACTTTTAAGTATTAATAACAAAATTGACTATGAGTGAAAATTTTAATAGGGAAAAGAAAGAAAGCATGTTCTAATACTTAGTAGCCATTAATAACAGCAACACAATCAACCAATCTGACTTTATAAATATAGAATATGAAAGCTCAAGAAAATGTAATTCGCAGAACTTTCAAGCCTCATCTCCAAACCTTCTGTTGTGAAAGGACTAAAAGAAAAGCAGATGGTAGCATTAATGGTAACAAACCACACCATTCAATGACAGCATTCTAAACAACAATTTCGTACAAAAAAGTGTTTTGACTTAAAGCATATGGGAAGTTATGCACTGCTTATCGGCAAACACACTCCCATCTCTTAAGTGCTGTAGCGCTAACATCTCACGTTCTGCTCCGAGACATATTCCTGTGATAGAAGAGCAGGAGTAACTTTAGCTAGGTACTAAAACCAATATACTAAGTGCAGATTATATATTAACACACAAATAAATTAACCTGGTTCAAATGGCATACGACTAAACCACTAAGTTAAAAAACTCAAGAAAATACATTGGTCCACTCACCTGTAAAATTCTCTGAAGATCTACAGTGAACGTAGCCTGTAGGCACATTACCAGCTTCCTGAAAATTAGGGTTCTTCGCCATTCTGAACAACAGACAGATTGAATAGCAGGCTCATAGAAACGCTATTCAGCAACATGCAGCTGCACAGCAACAACTGTACCATTTCCTGAAACAATGCACGAAATACCATCAGACTCTGGGAACACTGAGCATTATGACAAAAGCAAGCAAGATGTGTACTTCTCAAATCAAATTTTTGTGGAAATAAATTCTTTAAAAACACCTCAATTTTACGGGAAAACTTCTAATAATATTAGAATATAGCAACAGAATTACTTTTTTGGGTCATCATCACTGAATTTTGACCATTCAGGTTTTTAATTGTCAAAGAAGATGGTAACATATTGCCATTCATTTGTTCATAATTAGTCACAAAAATTTCATCCTGACTTTCCTGCCACAGCATCAATGTCCCTGAAAACACCTTTTTAACACATAGGTGTTCTAATTAAACCAGATCTATACCAACAGTATCACGCATGCTTTATTCCCTACACAGCCAAATCTCTTCAAGTGTTCTTGCCTCGCTGAGGGTTTTGGGGGTTCTGTTTGGCTTTGGTGGTTGTTTTTTTTTCCGCACTTAAGGCAGTTGCAGATCTTTCTCTTGCGCAAGCCTTTAATTTTATAAACAGGAAAACAAAACAAAATTGCAGGGTGAGGAAATACAGAAATATAAAGGCTTTATTTGTTTAAATACATAACCAACATAATGAGTCTCTCTCAACAAGTATAAATTATTGTTATCCTTCCCATCATACCTGCCAGCAGGAAAAATAAACTGTATTTAATTTGTTAAACAGATGATACCAAGATCTATGAATTCTCTTGTAAGAGCCACTCTAATCTTCTTTAGAGTATATGCTTAAGAGAACAAGGGAGGAGAAGGCAGAAAAAAATATTTTTTGGTTGGTTGATTAACTGGAAAGTAACCACACCTTAATCCTGCAAATCAAAACCAAGCATTTGACAAAGAAACTCTCCTGGTTTTGAGAAACAAAACGTAGTGTGTAAATATTTGTCCCTATCAGTAATGTATGTTAACAATTTGGCCTCTATTATCAAAATATATTCAAAAGCCATTTATGAAAATTATTGGATGTTTTTGGTTAAATATGAGTAAACATTCAAAAATAACAGTATGTTTCAAGTATCCGATTTACAGATTTGTAACACAAGACATGCCAAACACATCTACATCTGTGTACTGCACTTTAAAAACATAAGTAAAGAGCATTGGTAGGCAAGTGAGACTAACAGCAGATTGCTAACAAGTTAGCATCAACCCATATTTTTTTTTAAGTCTGATAATACATCTTGTAAATCAAAAGTAATTTCAGTGAATCACAGCAGTGCGTAACTGGTTACCTACTTCGACACCAGAAGGACCAGGGAAAACTGTGTACCATCAGAGTGTCAAAATATTAAACTAATCGTTAAAGCACAAGAAAATTCAAATAAGGCAGCCACAGCAGGGCCTTGGAAAGCCAGTCGGGGGGCAAACCAGCCAGGGGGGCAGGACCAGGGGGCGGCGGGAGAGGCGGGCGCGGAGTAGAGGGCGGCCGGAGCAGGGGATGCGCCCAAGGTCGCGCCCGGAGAGCCCGGGCCACCGCCGTCCCCCAGCTCCGGGGGCGCCAGGGAAGGTGACCCCGGCCAGCCCGGCCGCCCCCTCCCTCGCCTCCGCGGGAAGGCGCTACAGCTGAAAACCCTTCGCCGCCAAACGCGCCCGGCGCCTTCCCCGGCCGGCGGCGCTTCCCCGGCCCGCTCCCGGGCGGCCCTGTCCGCGCCCGACTGGAACTGCCGGCGGCAGCACCTCTGCCCTCCCGGCCCCGGGACCCCCCTCGGCCCGGGGGTGACGCGGCCGCCGCGCCCTCCCGCGCCCCTCCCGCGGGACTCACCGGCCCCGCCGCGCCGAGGCCTCACCCCCCGCCCCGCCGCCGTCGCTACGTCACCAGGCGGCGCGCTGACGTCACCGGGCAGCAGCGGGACGCGCGGGACGCAGCGCCCCGCGCGGGTCCTGGCGGCGCTGAGGCCTCCGCTGGCCTGGGCTGAGGCGGCCGGGCCCGAGCGCTCGTCCGGGCAGCGGGTCCGCCGTGCCCAGCCCTTGTGAAGTAGCGACTGGTGCTCAGGTGTCGGTTTCCTCTGCTGTTCCGTGGTTACATTCAAAATACACAGAGTCACAGAATACGCCGAGCTGGAAGGGACCTACGAGGACCATCGAGTCAAGCTCCTGGCCCTGCACAGGACACCCCAGGAATGACACCGTGTGCCTGAGAGCGTTCTCTACACGCTTCTTGAACTCTGTCAAGCTTGGTTCTGTGACCACTTCCCTGAGGAGCCTGTTCTGGTGCCCAACCACCTTCTGGGAGAAAAACCTTTTCTTAATGTGCAGTCTTAACCTTCCCTGGCGCAGCTTCACGTCATTCATTCCCTTTGGTCTCCAGATGGATGGTGATCCATCTATCTGAGGAGCAGTCCTTGGAGCAAACCAAGAGGTCTGTAGTCCAGTCCCCTGCTCAAAGCTAAGACTAGATCAGAGTGACTTCTGCCTTATGTGACCAAATCTTGAAAAACCCCCAAGGAGGGACATGTTTCTTTTGTAACTGTGTGCTTACCTGCCTCTTTTCATTCAGTAGGAGTTCTGCTTCCCTGAGTCATGAGAACCTCTCCCACAGAATGTGGGCTTGTCTCTATGTAACCATGAGATTCACTTCTACTGTACCTGCACAAAGCTAAATTTAGGCCCTCCAAGAGGCAAAGCATTATATGCTATTTAATTCCATGCTTTATTTAGCAGAAAAGAAGTCTTACTTGGAAGAAGTAAAAACAGAGGTCTAAACAGAACATCAAATAATTTCAAAAGTTTTCTACATCTAAAATATTTTAATACTGTTGCAGGTTAAAAGAATCATCAAATGTTTAATAATTTATTCTTGGATTTCATAAGTGAGAATACTCATTTTAATTAGCTTACAACATGGCAAACAGCAGTAACTTTTTTTTAGAAAAAAACAAACCCGTACCTTGCCCCCTTCAGGATGTCGCTGTAACGAGTTTGTAGATGCCAGAGTTTTTTTATTAGTTTCCTCTTTATTACTTCATCATCTATCATGCTTGCACTTTGTCAAGCATATAAAAAACCAAGGGTCATTCCAAGATTAACAAACATGCTTACAGTAACTTTTGATTACTAAGCAGAGCAGCTTTGGCATAGCCAGCTCCCACTCATGTAGTTATCCACTGCACTACATC